CTATCTCACCAGGTGTGTGGTCCCAGGGACCCTGAAGCTTCAGCTGACCTCGAGGCTTGTCACGTGTTGGAGACAAGGTGGTATGCTAGTGTCCCTTGGTCTGGGACGGCTCTTCCCAGCCACCATACTGCAGCTCTGGCTAATTTCAGCCAGCAGGGGGCAGTGGCCATGTCCCCTGAGACTCAACCAGGTGGAGTCTTGCACCTGGATCTGGGCAGCTTGCGGGCGGGCAGGAGGGACCCCTGGTTCAATGGTCCAGGCCGATGGTCCAGACCTGTACTACCAACTAGGGCTGGGAGGCGGAAGCACGCAGCAGGCACCTATGGTGGGTTGAGTCCACTCAGGGGTACCCCACGGATAGAGCAGAATTGGCTCGCAGGGCTGACGAGGCCGTCAGCTTTACGGGGTAGATCACAAAGAGTCACTGGGGTGGGGGTGGGGGTCTTCAAACCACCAGCCTCTCAGTTATCACCTGAGGGTCTAACCGTTGCTCCACCAGGGTGGCCCTCCATTGCAGGGCCAGGGTCCTGGTGTCCAGAGTACAGACTATGAGGACTGGGATCTGAGAACCAAAGTCAGGGGCCAGGGGTCTGGTTTCAGGCCAGGCCAGTCAAGCATATGCCTGGCCTAAGACCCCAGGTCCTGGGGGACCCTAAGTTTTCCAATGCAGGTCTTCTGCCTGAATTAATGACCAGGGTGGCAGCAGGGGGGTGGGGTGAATATGACTTGTCCCACAGCAGGGTCTCTGATAGTCACAACAATTGTAAGAGCAAAGAACTATTATTCCTGCTGTACTGCAGGGAGAGCTGAGGGGCAGAGGTCAAGTATTGGTCCAGGGTCTGAACCCAGGATGGGGATCCCTTGGTCCCAGCTTGTGCCCCCGGTTGGATCCTCAGGCCCAGAGCCAGCAAGAGGTGGCGGGGAGGCCTCAGGGACAGGAGACAAGGAGGCAGGCGGGGGATTGTAGAGACAGCAGAGAAACCCCGATCTCTCTCTGGAGCAGTGACCCCTTGGCCTAGGAGAGAGCAGGGCTTACCTACCTGGGCTTATGTGCCCTGTAGACAGAAAGTGGAACCAAGACTACCGGGCTTTGGCCCAGGGCAGCCACTGACCATGGGCACAGAGGCGGGAACCATGTACGTGATTGTTATGGGAGCAGACGGCCTCACCTTTCTCCTTCAGAGCGGTGGGTAGGTTTGAACCGCCAACCTTTTAGTGAACAGCCTTACCCACTGTGCCACCAGGGATCCCCTTCAATGTTGGTTGTTGCTGGGTACCATCGACTCCCCCCACCTCACCCAACTCCTAGTGATCCTACAGGACAGGGGATGGCCCCAGGGGGTTTCTGAGACTGTCCTCTTTAGGGGAGAAAAGAGCCTCCTCTTCCTCCCTCAGAGTGGCTGGTGGGCTCAAACCGCTGCCCTTTCAGCTTCCAGTGCTTAGCCCTGGGTGCTCAGTAGAAGGTGGGGTGCTACAACTAGATGGTGTTGCCTGACCTCCACCAGCCTCCAGAGCATGTTTGGGCCTAAAGGCTGCCTGAGGCAGATCACAGGCTTGTCTTTGGGGGATAGCAGAAGACTTTCCTCCAGCTTTGTCTCCCCCAAAGATATGCCAAGCCTAGAGGTTGTTGGCTAGCACTTGGGTGTGTGTGGGGGGTCGTGCTTAGAGATGTTCTCCCTGAAGGCCTTCAGCCATCAGTCTGGTCCACTGTAGGGGGCTCACACCCTACTGATAAGGACAGTGATTGTTTCCATGGAGAGCCAGAGAACAGGTCAAACCTGCTCAGTGACATCCAAAGTTAGGCTGACTTCCTGAATCTAGGATCCGCCCATCTTGTCCCATGTGTACCCCCAATTCCTCCCCTTCCTATTGGATGTATACCTTTAGATCTCCCCCTCTTATAACTGTACAACCCCTTCCTGTGATGTATGTCTTTACCTGTAATCAGGGGGCTTGCACGCCCCCAAAAGATAGATAAGCCTTGGTTAGTAATAAAGAGCCCTCTCTGCCCCAGTCCTCGATCCCCTGTCCTCGCTCCCCTGTCCTCCTTCCCCGCTGTCTCGCTCCTGCCATTCCCACCTTCCACATCCCACGTGGACCATCAAGCGGGGCTGAGGTGAGCATGCTACCATGACCTGTGTCTGACGCCTTTATTTCGCTCTTCTGGGCTGTCTCTCTCTGCCAGGAGCACCTGACCTCTGAGGGCAGGACTCAGCTCTGCCCAGCCCGATGGGTAGCCAGATGCCCGGTGGACGGCTGGACTGAGGAACCTGCCTGGATGCCCAGAACCTACAGCCTGTGGAATGTCCCACTGAGATGAGCTAGGGGGGTCAAAGGCCGTGGACACACCCCGTGGCCTTGTTTTTTTGCCGGGCCCCGGGGGTTAGGGGGGCGGGGGAGGGGGGGCTTGGGGGGCGGCCGGGCGTTTTGCCTTCGGGTTGCCTTTGGGGCCGGTTCGCCCCGAGGCCCCAAGGAAGAGGGGCGGCACCTCAGGGTCAGTCCCCTGGGAAGATGGAGGTCCTGCCTGTCCTGCTGGGAGACATGCTGCTGTGTTAACCCTGTGCATGCCACCAGGGACGGGGAGGTCCATCTGTCTGCTGGCTATCAGCCCTGGAGACTGCTGCTAAGACCCCAGGAATGTTTATGAGAGAGAGAGAGAGAGAGAGTCGAGCTTCTGCTGAGCTGCGAGGGGCAGTGAATTAGGCAGACGGGCATATTGTAAAGGCTCACACTCACTGCCGCTGAGTCCGTGCCGGCTCATAGCGGCCCTACAGCACAAGGTAGAACTGGCCCCGTGGGTTTCCAAGACGGGAACCCTTTACAGGAGCAGAAATCCCTGTCTTTCTCCCTGGGAACAGCGGGGGCTTCTTCAAACCTGATTTAACTGTCAGCAACCCAGTGAACAGCCTTCTGGACAGAGCCCCACGTGGAATGGCTGCTATAGGGGAGCGGAGACTCCCCAGGATTTCACTGGAGCTCTCTGAGCAGAGAAAGGAAATCAGCTGGCAGGGGACAAAGCTTGGACCCCGAGGGAGCCCAGCCCATATCCCTAGGGTCTCTAGCTGTGGATGCCAGTTAGACGGCTCTGACTCCCCGTGGCCAAGGGCCTATTTGGCTGATGTTTCACTTTCCCAAGCAGGGTGTCCTTCTGCAGGGGCCAGTCTCTCCCCAGAGCCCAAGACAAATTCTCCCATCCTCGCCTCCACTGAGGAGCATTCTGGCTGTACCTCCTTTCCAGCCACCCGTTCTCCACCAACACCACCTTTCAAAGGCGTCCTGTCCTCTCCCCTCTTGCTCGTTCATTGTCCCCCTTTCACATGCAGATGTGGACACTGAAAAGAACCAGCGTCTGATGCACCTGAGTCCTCCTCACGGTGACGTCTCTGCTTTTGTGTTAGTGCGGGTTGACTAGAGAAACAAATCCAAGGACAGTCATGTGTGTGTGTGTGGTGTGTCAGAGTTTTATATCAGAGTAATTGTATATTAGGAAAACATCCCAGTCCAGTTCAGATCAAGTCCATAAGTCTGATATTAGCCCGTATGTCCAGTACCAGGCTGTAAATTCCTCATCAGATCCACGCAACACATGCGATGATGCTGAGTGCAGGAAACTCACAGGCCAGTGGGTGGAAAGTCTGTGGATCCAGTGGTGGTGGAGGCATCTCATCGCTGGCGTGGCTCTCCACGTGGCTCCTCCAGCTGCCATCGACGTGGCTCCATGTGGCTTGTCAACAGGAAGGTGACGCAGAGAGTGTGGCCCTCTTCCCAGGAGAAAAAGAGGGAGTTCCCAGAATCTTGCTGGCGGGTGTTACCTTGTGACCTGATTGACAGGCTAAACCCCACCCTTTGCTCAGGTTGACATCCCAGTGGAACACGTGGCTTGATTTCTTGACCTGCTGCGTCCACAGGTGCTGACTGCGGACCCAGGGAGCAGCCAGCCCCGGCTCTGCGACGTCTCAGCTCTGTTGAGAGCTCAGCCTGTCCTTATGAGTGTGGGGGACCTGTACACAAGTGAGCTGGCTCGAGGGCATGAGTGTGATGCTGTGGGAGGTGGCCCTTGGCCCCAGTACCCACATCCCTCCCTACGAGGAGCCTGTGTGACTCAAAATGGTGCACACTGACCTGCTTACCTAACAGTGTTGCTTGACCACGCTCAGTGCTCTGCAGAGGAAAGGCCTGGTGGCCTGTGTCGCCAGCAGGAAAACCCGATGCGGCAGGCACGGCTGGGCTGCTGTGAGTTGGAAGGAAGGGACTCAAAGGCCACTAACAGTGACAACCAGGGGCCGTGCCTGGGTGGCGCGACTAGCACTGGCCGCAAAGTGGAGGTGGGAGGGTCGAGTCCCTGCAGAGGTGACTCGCAGGAAAGGCCTTCTCAAAACTCAGCCGCTGCAGGCTCTGTGGAGCGTGG